ACCTCCCTTATTTCCCTCTCCAGCTCGAGATCTGCCTCACGGTTTTGACAGGGGTGGGATAGTACACCCTTACTTTTGAGTAACCCTTGAGGCCTGGTATCTTTACTTATAGTGATTCTGTGGGGAAAGTTTATTCCATAAATATTTCTAGCTTATCTGACCCCAAGTTCTCTTTGATATACAGAGCAATGATACTCTCAACATGTCCCTCATTTGTACCACAACTGCTGACACCTCCCCCATACTGTTAGTCTATCTAGACAGTGTGTGGTGTCTGCAACCTTCACACCAAGTAGGCTAGTCACCATGCAGTCTAAACTACTGTATATTCCTAATAATCAAATATCACACTATGAATGGCTACCTTCCCTAAACCTCAGAAAGTATTCTCCATACAAGAGAATATCGGTTCATAAGAGGTTTATCCCACCTTCATAGTCTGATGCTCTCCAATCCTCACTCTTCACAACACCAGAGGAGGTGTGGGACAGTTCTAGCTTTTTTCTGTTTGTTTTTGAAAAACACACACTGAAACTTTGGGAAAAATCAATACATATGCTGTACTTACTTTCCTATCAAACCTAAACTTCTACTGATTTACCGACATAAAATGCATCATTTATAGCTTAGTTAGCATATTAAAATTGTGCTATTTGTCATACTGATGGGATTTAAAAGGATAAATATCTTTAGCTTCTATAAGAAAAAATTCAAATACAATCCCTGAAAAAGAGGTGCAAACTGTTGCACTCTGTGCTACTATAGCCTTAAGCTGGGCACATTCCATTTAAGAGTGTGTCACAACAAAGGATCTTCTCACAACCTCAATACCTTATCCACTCATCACTGCCAAAGATTAAAATGCCCCATCCTTCTAACTCTGACCCAGCTCTATCCAGCCAGTATCTAAACAAAGAAATGACTAATGGACCAGGCACACTAAACGTCTGACTCTACCCCATGCAAAGATCACGACGACTTAAAATGCCATAGGTAGTATGTACTTATTTTGCTCCCCTTCCCATATCCTATACAGGAACCTTTTAGACAGATCTTCCAGATTCAGTGATTGATATCCATGCCTGAGCAGCTGAGAAACACACCTCCACTCTACCTGCCGAGCTGAATCTCTTTTTTCAAATGACATAATTTTAAAGAATTCTTGTTCTAAGTCTTGCAGATATGTGGAGAGGATAGTATAAACATTTTAGACAAGGAAATAAGTTTCACTGGCTATTCTCAGATGTTACAACAAACTTCTTTTTGTGACTGACCTCGCTTCTTGTGGCTACACACACAGAGGGCTCAGAAGCTCCAATTTTACTGGGATGTCAGAATGCAGGCACTGGGCAAATGGAGTTTCCTCCCCACAAACAGGGATTCTAAAACATGGTTTCATCACAGCTGAGAACCCCAGTTTGTGGGGAAGAAAACTCTCAACTAGCCAAGGCTTACTTTCAGATATCAATTTCAGTACCAATATCTAGTAAAACTGAAGGAGCTCAACCTATCCTATGCCATGCAAAGGGAGAGAGCTCATGAGTCTACCTAGAAGTCAGGTTTGTGTCTGTCATGTGCAAATCTCTGTTTGGTTTGTGACATCTGGAAAAAGGCCACTATAAATTGAAGCTCACTAGGACAGTAACAAACTCTTACAGGAAGAATTCTACAGCAAGGTTTTTAGAATGAATGGGATACTTTAAAAATCACTTTCAAGTCAAAATGGAGTGAACATTTCCAGAATCACTTTGAGTCTTGATGAGGAAGTTGGACTAGAAACAAAATAATTAATAATACATTAAAAAAAACATTTCTCATCTCCCCCACACACTATATAGAACAGACTATCCACAATGGTTGGCAATCAAATTGAGAGTCTTTCCATCTATCATACAGGATGAATATATAAAGAAGTTTTCAACATACAAAAGACTTTTTAAAAAATACTGTATGCCAAGGTGTTGCAGTAGTCAAAGTAAGCTACGTACCACAAAAAGAAAGCAATGTAGTTAGTAATAATTCAAATAGTAAAATCTTTCTATTTTACACATCAGCTTCTTGTGCAAATAGATCTCCTAGGTGCACATGATGTTGAGGAATTTAGATTCAACATTTTAATGCAAGACAGAGATCCAATCCACATTCAGCACAACTCAAATACCTTTTTATCAAAGGCATCCCCTAATTTCAAAAGGACTCTTATGAAAAAAATGGCTGACAAGTCTGAGCATCTAAAAAGGTTGTCCCTGGTTCACAACAGCTGATGCAACAAAACATGTGTTTGACTATAAGAAACTAGCAGATACCCCTCTAAAATTAGTGTAAACCAACTTCAACTGTTCGCTTGAATGAGCTACAAGTAGTAACCCTTAAAATTGCATTTCAATCCAAGTAGGAAGTCTATTAACAAAATATTAGCTGTATTTCTGGATTGGTTTTAAGTACCTTAAATAAAACTTAAGATTGGATACAACGTACAGTGAACAGAGCACCACTCAAAGAACAAATATTTCTGCCTTTTCCCCACAGTACATTCCACACCCCCAAATGCTATTTCTGGGGTTCCCTTCAGAACAATGTAGGGTGTCCTGTGAGGTCCTAAAGTGGGAAATAATAATTAAAAAATCAATGAAAATCATGCCCTTCCTTCCACTGGCAGAAGATCCGCCTGGCCCAATCCTTAGCTTTCCAGCACAGAATGGGATGTATTTTCAAATACAGAATATTTGTCTCTTTGCATCCATAAGTAGTAGCACTAACTCAGTTACTCAGGATCCAATTTGACATGCCACCTGTGGCTTTTCTGAACACTCCTTCCCCTTATGACACCTGCTCCATGTTTCAGAAAAGCAGGCAAGACCCTTGTTCGGTGGGGACTGTGGTTGGCAGATGGTTTCTACCATGAATCCAAAAGCATGGATAAGCTGCAAGTCTCATGTCAGGGGTGGAAGTAAATGTAGCTCTTTTGATTGAGAGTAACTGTAAATGTGGCTTCCCGTGAGTTGCAGAGTGAGGACCACTGCCATAAATAAACTGAAATTTCTGACCCAAAAAAATTGACAGCTCTCATTGGTAGTCAAAGTCTAACATAAAATATATAAAAGTTAAAATAGATATGATTGAACTTACACATGAAAAATGGGAAAGATATCGAAATCAGTATTCTAGGTTTCAGTGAAAACCTGTCCTGACTCTTTGCTTGAAGTATGTTACTGCTCCCTCCTTAATGGACTTGTTCAAACAAACTATATATTTCAGGGAATAGGTCTACAAGTCTAAAAAATTACAGCATGCCTCTTGGAGTCTGAGCACTGTTTCAGTAATGAAATTACCAAGTGTCGCTAACACTTCAAAAAAGAACAGCAGGCCAAAAATGTCATTGTGTTATTTCAGAAAGGCCATAGCTTATTAGTGCCAGAACACAAGCTTAACTAGTATAAAGTCTCAGGCTCAATCCATGTTATCTCTGGTTAATGAATTTCATGAAGCAGGACAGGGAAAGACCTCTAGGGGGCACTGTTGCTAGGCAGAGTTGACAGTTCTCGGTTAAAAGTTGGACTCCCCATAAAGCAGCTCTTTAAATTCTTATATTTGTTACTGTGTTACACTGAATTAATGTTTGTTTCTGTAGCTTGAACTTTGGGAATAACAGTAACAGTCCTATTCATAGCTGCAAGGAGAACATTTCAGCATATAAACCTGTTAAAAAACCTACAACAGCTTTGCTGTGATCTTTAAATTTTAAGAACTCCTTTCTAATTACTTGTGAAAACTGGTATCAACTATTAAATACCTTCCTTAACCTTATTATGCTGGTCAATCAGTAAATCGGGGGAGGGATGTACTCTGATACACACAGAATATATCCTTCCGAGAACATCTTCAAAACCCACAGTTTATTTCTTGGAAAAGAAATAAAACCTCCATCATTATCTGGCATCACACTATCCACATAATTAACCTGTTGAGATAAATTCATTTAGGAACAGAACAGTATCTGGAGCAAAATTCTCATCCACTATATACATAATCTCCCTCCCAGAATCAACATATGTGGAGCGGCCATTTACTGTTGTAAGATGTGGGAAATAAATACCACCCTTCTGCATGTTTGCTGCCAAATGACTGTTTACGTGGATATGATTAGGGCATCACGAACGCCTCACCAACCCTTAGCCCTGTATGCACTCAACCGGCTGCCTACATATTTATTTGTTTATTGTATGGCAGAGTTACACACAGGAAGTATATAATAATATAAAATATGTAACCAAGATGATACAATGGGTATGCAGACCAATTGGGCAATCCCCCAAAATACTAATATCTAGATTTTCTGCTTACATAGATTATACCAGTAATAGTGCCACATTCAGGTAATGAATCAAGAACCAGTCCATCTGCATGCATAAAGAGAGCAATTTTAAAAGCATATCTATGAGCTTACTTTTTAATTTGATCACAATACCACCTCAACATGTTGCCATTTTGCTCATTCCCCTACAGACAGGCATCTCCAGCTAAAAAATCTCAGGTGACAGGTATTGGGGTAAGACCCTTCTCTGGAGATTCTGGCTACCAGAGTAAACAATACTGAGCTAAATGATCTTGACTCTGTATAAAGCAGCTTTATATGTCCATATAACTATCTACAGAAGTTGGATAGTTCCTTATATTTTTACTATAGCATTCTCTTTAGAAGTTATGTAACAAACACAAAACGATGTTCTTTTCTACAAAACGGAGGCGGGGCGGGGGGAGAATCCCAGCATCTTTTCTCCTATTTCCAATATTAGGAATTCAAAGTCTCTGAAGAACAGTTATCTGAAGTGTTACCACTTAAAAGTTAAAAATTCTTCGTTTCAAACCACAACTCTTCTAAACTCTTAAGAAACTCTAATACCAGAGTATAGGTACACTTCGAGCCTTTTCCCACAAAGCCAAAAAAACAGGCCCAAGGAGCTCCGGGGCCATCTAGGCCGCATCAGCTGGGACCTTACCGCGATGAGGGCGCTGCTGCGGCCCGGGTGCTGCTGCTGCTGCTGCTGCTGCTGCTGCTCGCCTTGAAAGGTGTCGGCGTCGAGGCCATTGGCTCCGGTCCTGTCGGAAGAAGTGGAGGTAGCGGCAGAACCCGGGGCCGGAACGGAGGGTGGCGGCTGCGAGGGGGCAGCTGGAGGGGGTGCTGCCGGAGGCGGCGGCGGCTGGCGGTGTTTCCCGGCCCGCTTAGCCTTGGCCTGCAAGCAGCGCTGGTGAAGAGCGAAGGTCTGCTGACGTTCCAGCTCCAGGCGCTCCGGGGACACGGCCTGGTAGCGGGACTCACAAGCGCTGTGATGCCGCCGGCATAGTTCGATCCGCCGGCGGAGCCGCTCCATGACCGCGCTGTGCCGCGGCACCACGAAGTCCGCCATGGGACAAGGGGGCAGGACCATGAGCCGAGGGGGAGAAAGAAAGGGAGCGACCGAAAGGTCTCCGCACCAGGCGCCTCTTCACGGCGCCATGACTCACAGCGAAGGACACCGGGCAGCCCTCAGCCACAACTCTTCGCCTGCTCCTGCCGCCGCCCTTCCCAGGCGGGGGCGCCCCAGTCTCCTCGGGACCGGACCAGCCCACTGTGTCCAGCGGAGGCCCGGCCACCCGCGCCGACCTTCCGTCCCCTGCCGCCCCTCCCCACAACCTCAGGCCCACAGCCACCGAGGCCTCCCACCTCCCATTGTTATCCGCGCCTCAGTCGCCGCCATCTTGAAATTGTTTTACCCCTTTTCTTCCCTCCCCCCCCCGCGCCTTGAAAGCCAGCCCAGTTCAGAGGGGGCGGACTTTCCTCGGTGGTGCCTGACGTCACAGCACGTACACACTCATTGCCGTTGGGATTTGACGGACACTTTGGCAAACCAATAGAGCATAAAGATTAGAAAGGGGTCAGACAGGAGGCGGTGCGGGAAGATCCCCCCCTCCGCCTTGCTTCTTCGTTTCCCCTCCCCCAACAAGCAGCACGACCTTTCCGGAAGAGTCTAAAGGGCGGAGCGTTATGATTGACGAGTAGTGCGCGCGCCGCTCCCTCCTCTGCCCATACGGAGAATGAGCCTGTGTAACTTCTTCAGCGCCTTTCGCCTCACAGCTTCATGTTACTGTTGATGAAAATACGCCAAGAGAAGACATTCGGATAGTTTAGCACAGGCACCCCGTCAACAAGAGAAAAGCTTGTCTTTGAAAAGCGTATATGGCACCTCATTAGGGTCACATTGCTTACCCAGTCCACTAAATCTTGTTGGTCTCTTAAGGTGCCACTGGACTGTTCTACTGCAGGCTAACATGGCTGCCTTCTGAAACAATCCACTCAGGGGTCTTGTTGTAGAAAAAGAGCTGCCGGAGCTCATTAACATAACTCATTAGCATAACTCATTTGCATATGCCACGCCCCCTGACATCACCGGAAGTGACAGAAGGCCACACCCCCTGACAGCACCGGAAGTGTGTCAGAAGGCCCGGCTACTTACCCTCCTGCTTCATCCTCATTCCCAAACGGAATGAGGATCGAAGCAGAGGGCGGGGTAAAGAAGGGGCGGGGCTTCACCACGTGACCGCCCCGCCCCCTAGAGGTTCTCTTCCGGAGCTCCGTACCTGAGAGCTCCCCCCCGACTAGAGCCCTGAATCCACTACAGTACCTTGCATGGTCCTATAGTAGGTTGATAGGTTTTCTAAAGAACCTAAAAATAAACAAAGCAGCGTGTGGGGACAGCAATGTGAAGCCTGGGGGTTGATTACAAAAAGATCTACTTTGCCTCCAAGACTTCAGTGGATGACAGTCTATGTCAAAGCTCAGATGTACAAGAATACTGGAGTTTGGAAATTAGTTATGAAATACAACCAAGCAACAGCACTTTACCACAGGAATAGCAGCACTTTCCCAAGGTACTTGAAGGTGATAAAATCTATGAAATCTGCAGAAGTAGAAAGATTCAGGCCAACACAGCACTGACTCAAAAATAATCAAATAAAAGCATGTAGTATTAGGTCACTGGTCTCACAATTTTAATGTGTGTACAAAGTGCCAGACTCAAAATATTCTGACAGTCATTAACCACACAAAAAGAATTTATAGGATGTCAAGTCTACAGAAGCGTTCACTGTACTTTCATCCCACCTGCCCCCAAGCTTAGGGTGTGTGTAGTGCTATTCTCCACTTTCCCCTTCAATTTTACTCTGAGCGCAGAGTCAGGTTTGCACTGGCCCTGGGCTACAGTGAACTTTAAGGATAAACAAGGATCAGAACCAGCTCTCTGTAGCCTAAATCTGCATATCTAATCAATTTTAAAAGCCACTCACCTGTTTTCATTCAGTTCAGCTGACTACACTAAATGCTTCATGTCCTAAGTTCATTAATAGTTAAATTCACCCACTTTAACTATGCATACTAAATAAGAGGCTTGATAGTCTCTATTTTCCCTAGAGCTTTACTGTTTCCAACCAATTTTAATTTCCCACCAGTTATCTTTTGTAGAACTATGACAGACTGAAAGCCTGCCATGCCTGGTCTTCCTGACGGTATGACAGATCAAGCCATACAAAGCAGCATGAACAAGCCAAAGCATTATGGAATTTAATGAACAGAGCTAAAGGATTCTCCATGAACCTTAAGATACTTAACTCAGTAATAAGCAGACTTCTAAATGCATCTTGCTCACTTTAACCTATTTGCATTTTTTCCCAATGCTTACCAGCAGCAAGGGCATGCAATTCATGACAGTAACTGGTATTTAGCAATTCAACAACACTTTTGAACAATACATTGCAAAATATTTTTGTTGTGCCTTTAGCCTATTGATGGCACTAGTTAAATGCTTGTCTCTTTCAGTGCTCGCTGGTCTCATAGGCTTACAAAAGGCAGAAATTTCCTTTAGAGGTCCTTGCTGAATCTTCTCCTCTATCTTAGCTTTGCCTTAAACCCAAAGCATAAAAACATTATAGCAGACTTGACAAAATGAAACAAGGGTAGTTTTGTGTTTCTTTATTAATCAGCGTAAGCTTACATTTCTTCATAACTTAACCAATATATTATATATGCATACCAAATATTCAGTTCTTTAACAGTCAGGACTTTGAGAAGTCACAGTCTTATTCACTAACACTTGCTGGCATTGTACAGATGCAGTACTGGCACTTAGAAAACTATAGTGGGCAGGAGGCAGAAGGGTGCCAAGTAGTAGCCATTAGCACCATATTTACTGCCACAAATTAAGAGAAGCCAAGCATTGAAGAACTAGGATACCTTTCCCCATTAATGATTGCATGGGACTTCTATCATCCATAACAGCCAAAATATTGAGTCTCAGTGCATTTTACCATCTGCATTTTTAATTTACGTAAATTAGCATTGTAAAATATCCGAAGGCATGCCACATTCACTGAAGGAGCATTACCTTGTTAAATAGTATCTACTTTTTAGTACCCAATATACTAACAAACATTGTTTTGAAATTTCTAAATGCAATTTACTATTTTCCAGACAAAAGTATAAGCCATTGCATCCTATTCAGTGCAATCTGAAGTTATGTTTTGGGAAAGGGTTTTTTAAAAAAACACTTCCTAATGCATTTTTTTAAACCCTTCCTAATGCAATATAGGACTCAGCTTCCCCACTATTAGTTGTATCTTTATAGATTTTGAGCAGATTTCAGGCTGAAGTACTTTAAAAAAACATCTATCTGGTCAGAGTCAGAGCTTGTTATTTGAAAACTGCAATCTATTTGAATCCTTCTTTCTTATATAGCTAATGCAATAGTCCCCTCTCAGTGTGGCACATTACTTAATATGGGTTCACAGTTAAACACTGGGCTAAAGGTTTTTTAAAGCAGTACATTTCAAGCAACAGACTGCAAAATGTTACTGTAGTGCCTTTTAAAATTTCACTGACATCAGAAGAGCCAGAGCATGCAAACAGAAAAGCCTTCTAAAGAGGTTATATGGAAGCCAGAAAAAATATTATGTTTAGATATCAACTCAAGAGCTTTGTTTGAAAATGAAATTAATATTTCATTTTTCACAGTGTGCTGGAGAAAAAAGGAACACATGTTTCATAGAAGAAAAAAGGGGTTGTTGAAGTAATTTGTGCACAAAGACAGACAGTTTTAACTCAAACATTTTAAAACAGTACACACTGCAAATGGTAACTGCATATCAACCATGGGTTGGAATAAGACAGGAGACAGATAGTGACAGCAGTTCCATTTTTTACTTGCTGTCTAACTGTTTTAGATCAGTGACTAAAATGCTCTAATTAAGAAAGCCATGCCTGTAAGCCCTATAGCTCCCAATAAGGCAGCAGTGACATTGTGGAAATGTCAGGTAATTAGCAAAGTTTAACAATTGCAAAAAACTTATTTTCTAAATAAAATGGTCCACAAGTACACACTTTTAGCTGGCTTGGAAAATCTATCCATTGACCATGTCAAGGTCAGTAGGGAATTTATGGTTGTGAATTTGAACATGATAACCATACCTCATATGCAGCAAAAGCTCTGTTTCTAGGCAGCCATTAAAAATGTTTTCTGAACTAGTCTGACCACTTTGTGAATTTTTTATCCATTAATAAAACCCTGGAGTGTTTCTAGTCAATGCACAAAACACAATTTTGCCCATATGTACCTGAATAGAGGACAACAGATAGCACTCGAGACATTTAATCTTACCCCTACGTGCTCTAATACAGTGAAGGGATTACAGTTTTATCCTTGTAGAGGCATACGTTCTGATAGTTTTCTGTATTCTACACAAAAAGGGCTTTGAACTGCTAGATACTCAATGAAACACATTTTTTAAAAAAAATTTATTCAGCTGGAATTGGAACCCCCTAAATTCACAACACAGTTTGATACATGAAGAGCAGATGGAGACTCAAACTGTTACATATACCCAACAATTTGTTTTACATGCTCCTCCTTTAGCCACAAATACTGACATCTGCTTTTGGGTGCAAGTCTTAGATCATCTTGCCTACACTTCACTCATCTTGTCTCTGTCATTAGCGTACATACAATGGCAACAATGAGAAAGTTAGCAACACTGCCCTGTCCACAGCATTTGGACCCCAGAAATATTTCTACCTTTTGAGATTTTTTAAAAAACTGAACAGACTTAACAGTGAGCTGAACATATGTATTCTGTAGCAGCCATGCTGCATTCTGCAGGAACTGTAGAACAGCAGAAGCAGTAATGGGAGGAAAGAATTTTAAAACCAACAAAAAAATAGAAAACCCAAACACAATGAAAACAAACTCCATACAGAGAGGAGTTTAAGGGCTTTAAAAAAAAAAAAAAAACCACGACATCCAGTCTCAGTCTTAGTACCTTAAATCAAAACCTGCTCCCAAAATCAGGCCGAATGAAAATACTGTTAAGTAGATGGTACCCATGCCCAACATGGATAGTTCATGGCCTAGGGCTTTTTTTTTTCTCCAATGAAAAAGGAGGAAAAAATATTTGAACACTTGATATTGTTTCTTCTAATGAATTTTAATTGCCCATTCTATTTTTGACTGAAACTGAAAAGTTAATGCATTGCATTGACAACTTTGCTTTAACATGATCAAATCAAGAGAAATATTGTATAAGAATGTCCATCTGTAAAAAAAATTAATTATAAAAGCTACACACCAGCTACCATTTTTCTATGGTTTGATGCTCATTTCCATTGATAGGTTAATACATTAATTTAAAGCCAAGTTTGAGACTGGCAAATCTACCATTCTATTTAAAACAAAACAATTCTTTAAACACAAAAGAAAAACATTAGTTCGTGTAACATTTCAGAAATCCATAGCAGGGTTGTGTTAAATGCACTCTCTTTCTACAGGAATACTCTATTTAAAAACACAACTGCGAATATTTTACTGCTAAACACTCATGTACATTGAAGAGCATTTGACAGGAACCTGTGGATGGTGAAGTCTTGAGGTTTTTCTGAGTTTCAGCAAAAGGTATCCAAGGTCCTCTCCCAAAACCATCTTGGGGAAAATTAACCAGATCAAGTTCTTAGGATATTTCATTCTCTTCTTGGTTTTCTGTTTCTGGGGGATCTATTTGCAGTTTCTTCTTCCTATGAAAAGGCAAATACAACTTCTGCATCAACAAACCAGAGTGTCACCTTCCCACCTGAATTTCATCTTGAGCTCCAGATGATAGCAATTCAAGGTTTTTATTTTTGTTAGCCTTTTCTGCTGCAGTTCAAAGTAGCAATATGAACTATCAATTTTCCACTTTTAAAAGCTCAGTGGCTTGCCTCTTCAGCTGCCAGTCAAACGGAACTTCATGACTACTACACATTTGTTTCTCTTTTGGATCACAGCCAACAGAACCAAGTGGATAACAATCCGTAAGATTTTATGATGTAGATAAGATTTTTTAAGAATAAGCTCAAGCTATAATATACTTCTTTTAAAATGAAGTGTCTTAACATGAAACCTGACAGGGGAGAAATAGCAGAGCAACTGGAAAAATAGTTTTAAAACTTATCTCATAGGAAACTGCCTAGCAATCAGCAGCAGCCCTTGCTTCTGACCAATTTGTATGTGATGGTGCAGGAGCAGTTTTATGATAAAGAAGGGCAGGCAAAGAGCAGCACTGAAACTTGGAAAAAAGCACCACTTTCTAGTGTTCACTCCAACTAGCATCTACCTACAAAACTCTGTCATGGCTGCATGTTCTAAGAGAGGAGTCATGAGCGCTTATCTAAAAATAGTCAATTAACATTATTAAGCTGTGAACCTAAGACAATCATAGTATGAGGTGTAATGGCTCTACTCTGTTTTAAACAGATATGTTCATTTGGATATATCAACAAATCAGTATTCAATTTTATTTAGGAAGTATTGAAATAAATGGAAGGCAGTACCAATTTGTTTATTTCAAGCTGGGACATTCATGGTAACAATGTTTTCTTTAAAATACTTATTTAAAAAAATTATTCCACATGTAGCTGCACTGGACAATGGTATCTTTTATTACAATAAAGCTGCTTCCATGTGATATAGATTCCAGTGCTCCAGAATTAGAGTGAGTTTAGATGGCTTATGGAGCTGGCTCATTTCAATTATTCCCATTGGCTTGTAGCAAAAACCTGATGACTGGAGAAATCAGAACGTGACAAAACCCAACTGAGTTTTCCCAGGTGATTGCCAGATGTAATTTAGAAATGTATAAACAGAAATCTTTTACTGACATAAAATTTAAGCCACATAAGTTTCCAGTACCACCCTAATTTCTGTGAACACAGTCCAAAATATGCTTTGTTTTTCCTTTGCATCTTATTGTTATGCTGTATTGGACTTTTGAAATCCGCAGAAAAGGTCCTAGATGAGCATTCTTTGGGCTAAGTTACAGAAGTGATCTCATCAACAGGTGGTGGTGAGTTTGTGATTCACAATTCAGAAAGCATTGTGCTGCACAGTACTCTCATGAAAAAGTTTACAGCTGATTGCATACTTACACTTCCTTTAGTGCAAAATTTTTCAACCAAATATTTACCTCTACAGTGGGTTTTCTTGCTTCTTCTTCTTCTTCTTCCTCCTCCTCCTCCTCCTCTTCCTCCTAGCTTGCAGTTTCTGCATCACCGTCAGTCTTCTGCTTCACTTCTAAAGTGCATATATGAATTTCATTAAATAAGTTCCTATGAATGAGAAATCTCAGTTATTTTTCTACTGCTGAATTCATCTGGCTTACCTGGCTTTTCTTCAATCATTTCTTCCTCCTCTTCCTCTGCTTCTCCCTTGTCTCTCTCTTCTACCTTCTCTTCCTCATTTACATCGGGCTGAGGGGCATCAGTCTTTTTGTACTCTGCAGCACTTGGTTGTTTCTGAAACAAATGCCAAAACAACTCCATAGTCAACTGCTTCTCAGAAATTATTTCTGTTCTGATCCTACTGGATACACCTCAAGCTCTTTCAAGACCACATACCTTTCCAGAGCAGCAGAAGAGGATGACAAGGAACACAGGCAGAGCCACAGTCAGGATGTAGACTACCCAAAGCCAGGGACGCTCT